GACAATGCAGAATAAGATGGGAAAAACTGATGAAAACATATCAACTGTATAAAGCTTAATATTACCCATTCATTCAGTTTATGTTAGTCAGAATAGATTCTTTTGGCCATCACTAATGTTAGCAAAAATTATTTCGCTCAGATGTGATAACTGCGGTATGGAGTTTTTTTTTGTTGTATTCATACGTGACGCTCACTGACGAAAAAAATAGCCTTGTCCGCTTTCCTAGACTACCCTGTGGGGTACATATTTACGTACTTGAAACACGATAAAAGTTATAAAGGTATTGTTGATAATATATATGTTCACATTTTATTTCAACATACTGAAAAAATATGTTTACGTGACTGTAGCTTTACGTGACACTCATTCTTCTTTTGTGCTAAAAATTGATCCGATAACGATAATATGCTTCGTGTTGGTATTGTTGAATGACGTCACTGCATTTTTGGTCCCGCCATTTTTTTCAAAAAAAAGCCTCTTCGTGGCAAATAATTTTTTAACCCCCAGGTAAGAAAACATATTTAAAATTTATGATTTTTTAGTTCGTTGAAACAACATAGACATAAAATTACTTTTTAGGCATTATTGAATGTTTTAAAAACTGAAATAGAATAATAAATATTGTTTGTAAACAAAATGTCAATTTAAGGAAGTCAATAATACATAATCCAATGAAGTGCCATTCCATTTTACAAGTCCTTGTCACGTAAAATACGTTGGTCACGTAAAAAATTCAAAATAGGAAATTGTAATTTTAAGACATTATTAATAACATTACTGTCCTTTTTTTTAACAAAACGATTTTTTAAAATAGAAACCACGTATATAAAATAAAAAAAATTTAAAAAATACACTTTTAAAAAATTTAATATTTTTAATTTTCCTTTTTTAAATTAAAAGTGAAATTTAAAATGATTAAACAATTTTAGAAGAAATACATCATTTTTTAGGGAAATGAATTTATTTTTTTTTATATATTTTTTACCAAAGCCCAAAAAACCAAAGGGTTTTAAAAATTGGGGACGTTTTTCATTTAAAAATTTTAATATAGTAGATATAAAAAAAAATTTTTTTTCTTTTTGCACTTTTAAAATACATAAACAGGGTTTTTTAAACCCTTTCCCATTACAGAATTCCAAAAATGGAAAAAACACATCCGGGCCCCCAAAAAGAGACAAAAAAGGGAAAAAAAAGGAACTTTAAAGGCAAAAAGGTTAGTTTCCAAAAGAAAAGAACAAAGAATAACTACAAAAAGGTGTCAACTCTTAGTACCAGTGAAGCAAAAAAGAGGAGAAAAACAGCTTCGTGAAAAGCAGGCGTCATATCGTGCCAAGAAAGTATTTGGAAAGAGGTGTTAACAATGAAGCCCAACAAGTACAACATTAAACACTGCTCATAATGACATCCAAACTAATGAAGTCTCAAGTACTAGTACTGATTCAAGACTTATTGTAAAACTAGCATATCATAAGAAACAAAAGAAGTACAATAAGAAAATACAATACCTTAAACAAGTAAGTGAAGTTATGAAACGAAAGAATGAAAATCTAAGAAGGCAGTTAAATAGAATGAAACTCAAAATAAAAAAGAAGGGGAACATTGAAACTAAAAGTCCAAGAACACCAAAATCAAGATCTGAGAGTGAAATGAAGAAAAGCTGGTATTGAACCTGATAAACATCCAAATATCCGGAAAAAGCTTATGTTTGCAAACTGTATTGTTGGTGAAATGAGAGAGAAAGTTATGTCAAGAAGAAGCTTGGATAACACTGTCATCAAAAAGGTAGTAGCTGGAAATATTATGAGAAAGTACCATTTGACGCAATATACTGCAAATCTCATTGGTTTTACGTGTTCGACATAAAACAAACAGCGGTCTTGAGAGAGAAGGAACCTTGCTAAACAAAAGATATACAAAAGTTACAGAATTCCTTGAGCAGAGAAGACAATTCTCGACTGATGCCTGGAAAGGCAGATGCTGTCAAAAATGGGAAGGAAGGTCGCAAAACAAAAGTTTGTGTTAAATGATTACTTAAGAAATATCTATATAAAGTATAGAGCGGAGTATCAGAATGAACACATAAGTTTTGCAACTTTTTTGTCGAGCCAGACCAAAAACACATTGCCCTAGTAAACTTTGCTGCAAGAGTTACATGCCTTTGCACCAAACATCAGAATTTTGCTTTGAAATTACAATGCTTGAAGAAGTATGGGCTGACAAAGAACACAAGTCCTGATAGTTTTTTCCGATACCATTGAAACTGATGAGATGCATAAAAAACTTCAATCTGTACAACAAGATAATATCCATTATAAGGAATGGCGGAGAGTTAAATGTGATGATGGTAAGCAGAGGATGAAACTTTTGGACATCGAAAAAGATACAAAGAAGTTTGCAGATGATTTCATGGTCGAATTTCAGGCCTTTAAAGAGCATGCACAAAAGAGTAAAGGGTCAATACCAGGCATTCAAACATATGAAAGAAAGTCTTTTAGAAAACAACGACCATTGTTTGTTTACAAATGGACTTTGCTGAAAACTACAATATCAAAGAGATGGAGGAAATACCAAAGTGCGTATTGGAATCAGGAATCTGTAACCCTTCATCCTGTTGTCATGTATTTTCAGAAAGATGGTTCTCTAATGCACCGCAGTATGGTTGTAGTTTTCAGAAGTCCTCAACCATAATTCATCAATGGTACAATCTATCATTAAAAAGGTCATACCTTGGGTGAAGGAAAACAGTCCGAATGTCAACTTTATCCACTATTGGACCGATTCGCCAAACTCACAATATCGGAACAAGGCAATATTTGACCTAGTTGCAAGACACCCAAACCTGTATGGTATAAAAGCAAGCTGGCATTACTTTGAAGCCGGACACGGAAAAGGAGCATGTGACGGTATAGGAGGTGCTGTTAAGAGGTCTGCTGATACTGCAATGAAGATTGGAAAGGTAAATATTACATGTGCAAAGGACTTTTATGAATGGGGCTCAAAGTCAGACAGCAAAATAGCATACAAATTTGTAGAAAAACACGAGTATGAAGATTCAAACAAAGAGCATGAAGAGTTGGTGAAAGAATTGAACACAATAAAGGGTACTCTTAAACTTCACGTCGTAGTTGGTCTGAATGCAAACGAAATCATGGTTAGAGAAACAACATGTGTATGCAATAAATGTTTCGCAGACACTGGGTTCATTTTTGATAAAGATAACACTTGTGGTTGGCAAAAACACTTTGTTAGAAATGTTACGCATGAAGAAGAAGTCTCTGAAGATCAGAATGCAGAAATAGCAGTAGAAGATGTTACCTTTCCTCATATTGTGAAAGGGGACTTTGTAGCAGCAATGTATGATGGCCATGCATATGTTGGTAAGGTCATTGATATTGATGAAGGAATGTTTGAGGTATCATTTATGGAGAAAGGCTCGAAAGTGAAAGACTGTTTAAAATGGCCAAAGAAAGAAGATACAATCTGGATTGAACCAAAAAATTTGCTATGTAAAATTCAAGAACCAAAGGCACAAGGGAAAGGGATGCGTTCTTTTAAAATAAGTGACACTGACAAGGCGCTGATTGCTGAATGTAAATCTAAATAAAAATTGTATTTTACGTGACAAATGATAGAACAGTAGCAAACCATTTTGAACAAGGTCTTCACTTGTAACACGTATAATGGCTTAAAAAGACTATTAGTTGGTTTAATTTGTAAGTAATGGACTTACAACTGTTAACAATTCTGTAGTTATTAACTGGTATCAGTGCTCTTATCAGAGCGTTGAATTTTACGTGACGAAATTTATATCAAACCTAGCGTAAATATGTAATTATACTTTTTTTGTTGAGAGAGAAGAAAGTTTTAACATTGCAATTATCACATGGATTAATATTAAGTTTGACGGAATTGTTGTACACTAGAGTTTTTTAATAATTATATGTTCAGTAATTTCCAATAATTATGAATTTTACGTGACAATAGTTATATGAACACTAAGAACAGTTACAAAGCATTGAATAAGTTCTTCACTTGTAACAAGTATAATGGCTTAAAAAGACTATTAGTAGGTTTTGTATGTAAGCTATGGACTTGCAACTGTTAACAATTCTGAAGTAATTGACAAGTATAAGTTCTCTTATCAAAGTGTTGAATTTTACGTGACAAAATATATAACAAACCTACCGAAAGATGTTATTATACACTTTTTGATGAGAATGCAGAACTTATGAACATTACAATTATCACATGGATTTATTTTAAACATGACGGAAGTGTTGTACACTAGAGTTTACTTAATAATTATATGTTCAGTTATTTCCAATTATTATGAATTTTACGTGACAAAAGGTTCATGGTATTTGAAATCAGTTCTTGGTAGCATTAAATGGTTTAAAGCCAATACCTGCCACAAATAAATTTCATAATGATATATGTAAATGGTAAATGCATGAAGAAACGTCCATAACAAAAGTATAACATGCTTAAACAAAAATGCCAAAGTCGCCATTTTATTATGTTATGTCAGTTATTGTTAGAAAAGTTGTGTTTACATTTTTAACGTTGTGCATAGTTCGCACATTGTTTTATACTAAACTTTTCTTTATTTCAATTTAAAGCCTAATATGGTCTATCAATAAAAATGGGTATTTTTTATTTCTAAAAGATAATGTTAAAAAAACTTTTATTGTTTTAGATATACAAGGATACACATAACGTAAAATACACATCAAATGCACAGGGTTTGTCATATCATTAAAATTTTTAAAAAATTGCTGTTTCTGATTGAACCCACATAATAAAATATTACCCAAAGACATCAAACTTTTGTTTTTAATTGATTTAACTCCTATACTGGAACATTTAAAATTCACCTATTCTGGTATGATTTTTGGCTGGAAATTTGAGAACGAGTGTACATCGTGTTTTCACCATCGTACCATCGTGCCATCGCGTTTTCACCATCGTACCATCGTGCATCGCGGGAACACAATAAATAAAATGTCACGATTGTCCAAACGTGTTCAAACGGAACACCGTAGAAAGTCGAAAAGCAATATATAGTATCGTGTTGCAGGCAGAGTTTTTGACCTTTCGGCTTTCAAATGCTTAAGTTCGAAGCCATGAAAAATCATGGCGATTACAACGCATTTCATATGTGGTGAGTTTTTACCCTTCGATCGATTGCCTCTTCCCCCTTGTTGGTCATACGAAAACCATAAATTAGAGAAGTCGACCACCATAGTCCTAATTTGCTGTTTAATATTCACGCTAGTGTAGATCTCTTATCTCAATGTTTAATAGATTATGTAAATTCACAATTGAGTTATTTTAGTAGTAGTATTTAGATGTGCGTCAATAAAAATGCGACTAGTGCAGTTTTTACAAGATGGAGAACAATTTCTTGGATTGGAACTTAAAAAGTCAGGGGATATTATCAATTTAAACGCAGCAGATGCATCGATACCACGTGATATGAGGATATTTATAGAAGGTGGTGCAGACGTTTTAGAACGGGCACTAAGGTCAAGTTATAATACATCAATACAAATAAGTTTGATAAGCTAACTAGTAAAATTAATCTTCGAGCATAGACTCCTTCGGGATCATTGATTACAGCATTTTTAAGAGTTGAAAATTGAGTACCGCTCAAGCCGGTGCTAGGGGGCATGAGGGATGTTGCACCTTTTTCCTTCATATACAGACTCAATCAAACCGAATCTGCAATTTGCATGTAATTTTGCTGATTTAAATGCTTCCGAGGGACCACTTTTTCCAGATATTTTTATTAGGATAGGATCGTGTCTATTTATCCATTTGAGAATACAAAAAATATAATGGTTTAATCTTAAGTAGATTCATTTGATCAAGTTTATCAGATCTGCGTATGCTTTTACTCGTATGAAAATTTAAAATACGTTCGAAATAATGTTTTAAGTGTATTGATAAAAGTAATTTAGCTTAAAACATCCTCTTAAGAAAGAAAAAAAAACAAAATTAAAAACGGGTACCCAAAACGGAAAAAATTAAAATGTTGCAGGTACAGTTTAACTTGTTCATGGACGGTATTCGTTTGCCGCCTATTAACACCGGCTTAATCAGTAAGTAAACATGTAAATGGGGAAATTTGGAATTTAGAAGCATCCGCAGATGTTCCTCATGCAGCAATTCAAAGAACCTACAATGTGAAACTTTGTGGTGTTATTCAACGAAAAACGGCGTATGGACCCAAGTAAAAGAATGAGTGAGTCTTAAACGAGAAAATAAAATAAAATGGAAGTTTGAAAGGGAGTCTTAGGCATTGAAGCCCGCGTTTCACTGACAGCACAAATCATGGAACTATCAATGTCAGGCATTCGTTTTTTATAAATAAATGTTAACACATTTGTAGTTGTGTAATTTTAAAATTATTCTATTCAAAATGCATAGTTACCGGTATTTCAGGTCTTATAAAAGTTCGTTTTAGATAATAAAGCATATTAAAACATGCATCATATAAAATTAAAAATATAATTTCAGTGCTTCAAACAGAACAGACTGCTTGGTAATGAGGGATAGGATAAGGTTGCTTGCCCCAATTACTTCTTGTGAGAAGGTCTTGTGTATTGGCATGAACTATAGAGACCATTGTAAGGAGCTAAATTTTCCTATTCCAAGAGAACCTGTGGTGTTCAACAAGTTCCCAAGCTGTGTAATTGGGCCAGAAGATTCTTTGAAATACCCTGGATACACAGAGGTTTGCTTTCAAATTTCATTAAAATATAATGTCATTATTTATAAGGCTTTTGGTTTCTCTACCATTTCACATTTGAAACAACTAAGGAGGTAACCGAAGATGAGGTTCTACACAGGTTCTACAAA